GGGGGATGCTATATGCGTGCTTCGGCAATTTCATAGGCCATTCACCTTAGATCCAGCCGAATTATAACGCAAAACTTTCCCTCCTGTGTCAAAATGTAACTGAAACTAAATTTACGGTCATGCCCCTGAAATAATATTCAGTTCTAATACAGTAGAAGCAGCCATCGGTGAGCCCAACTGCCTTTGTTAGCTAAATGAACTGTCCGGCGAGTCCGGTTACATGTCTTGGCTGCTTTAAGGGCAGCCCTTCTCTTTTCCCCGACGCCTGACATGACTTTTGCACCAGTCTCCTGAACCTGTTGTTTTGTCTTGGCGTCACAATGCCTGCGTTCCCCTTTTCCTGGCATTCCGAAATTACATTTGAATGAACGTACTTCTCGTTTAAAGTAGGTATAATACTAATGACCCAATTCCATTCGTTCAGCCCTTCTTGAGAAGCCACCAGTCGTTCAGCTACTCAATAATTTTCCAACATTTTATGCAACCCCAAGGTTCGTTACTGTGTTCAAAAGGGTCCGCCATTGGCCTCTAACTTAAGCAAGATTAATCAAGTCCATACCACCCCATTCCATTTCTCTAAGGTCTGTTTTATTATTGTTTTCCCACTTAAATGCATATGTTCATACTGGTCTCTTTCTTTCTGGATTTCCCACCAATACCCTATATGCATTCATCTTCCCCCATTCGTACTACATGCCCAGCCTATCTCATCCTCCATGACTTGATCATTCAAATTATACTTGGAGAAGAGTACAAGTTATGAAGCTCCTCATTATGCAGTTTTCTCCAACCTCCTGTTACTTCATCTCTCTTCGGTCCAAATATTCTCCTCAGCAGCCTGTTCTCAAGCACCCTCAGCATACTCGTATGTCCTTCACTTAATGTGAAAGCCAAAGTTTTGCACCCGTACAAAACTAAAGGCAAAAATTGTAGTTTTTCATACTTTAATTTTTAGGTTTTTTGACAGCATGAGATAAGATAAAATGTTCTGAACTTATTGGTAGTAAGCGTAGGATACTGAAATATGGAGATATCTCATATTACCAGTAATATCACCTCTAAGAATTTTTTCTTATCAACACATGGAGCAACGAGAGATGAGAACGGTGTGTGGTGCCAGCCGTGGAGGCCCATAGGGTTGTGAGACGTCGAGGCTGTCTCATTTTCTAGACAGTCGATTCACGGATGGCGGTGAGATCAGCCTTACATACTGGCCGCCTTTACTCACAGGAAGATTCCTGGTACTCATTTCCTGTTAGAGGCTGAGTATATATTATGGCCAAAGTGCGGCTGGAAGGATTAGGTAACTTGAAAAATACAGTAACCTAGTCGGAAATCGAACCCGCGACCTTCCGACTTGTAGCATAGTGCCTCAAAAATCACGTGCTAAGAATCAAATTACATACCATACATGATATCTTCCTACCTAATTAGCGCAGAAATGTTTTCACAACACACGTCCAGCAAGCGCACAGC